TAGGTTTAGTGGCAGGCATAGGAGTCCACATATGGCATAGGAAAATTGACTGCAGTTGACTGGCTGCAGTCATTGTTTGATCCACAATTTTCATCCCTTATTATTATTATGCAGGATTTATATAGCGCCAGCAGTTTGTGCAGCACCCAGATCTTCAACAAAAGTCAAATGAACAATAAACCTTTGTTGAATAGAGGGCTGCACACAAGGAGATGCACAGCTTTAATTTTGGCCAAGTCAGAAGGACTTTCGAGCAGTGTATGACCAATGTAAGTATAGTATCTAATGGCCTGAAATCTATCTCCATTTACTACCCATTTAACAGGGAGCAGGACTCCTGGACGTCTGTACATTCTATGTAAATGCTCGCCTGAAGTGAAGAATGCAATAGGCAGAGATCAATTGCATGTACTGTGCAGCATGGAGACCAGTCTCTGTTCATGCAACACGCCCAACGGTCAGAAGGTACATCTTCGAAAGGAGGGCAGAACAGGCCCTACTGCATTAAGATCTTCCAAGAAACGGAAAAAACTGCACCGAGGTGATATAGGGACTACAAGAGGCTAAAACCAGGTACTTGCACTGCTTGCATGTAATTATACTTTATTAATTACAGTGCTGCAATAATTTGTGATTGTATCTGCCTACAGTTTAGTTTTAATATCCCAACTTGTTTTTCTCCCCTTGGCTCTGACAAATTTAGAGCTATCTATGGTCAACATTTATCATCATTTACATACCATGTGCACCCACTTTGTAAACTAACCATGATATTTTTCAATAATGAATGCCAAACCCTTCAATTACTGCTGACACTTTTTTTTTTTTGAGAGAGAGGTGACAGCATTCAGGCATAGAAGCCAAGTCTCCTTAGTACGGTCACCCATTCAGCCACTGTTCCAGCTAGGATTATACCAGGATGTACGGATGCATGGTGATTTGGCACTGCCATCAATGTCTATATGTAATCTCTGTCTGGGCCATACATTAACACCCAGGCCCAACTTACGCCATTCTTCCACATCCGAGACTGGACAAAAGGATTATCGGTAATGCTTATAAAGCGATGCCTACAAATACACCGGTTTGCTGAGGCAACAATTGTGAAGTAGTGTGATCCTCACAGTTAATCGTTCCTTACCTTCTTCCCTCATTTACACCTCATGCTCATGAGAGGCTACTTGTCACATAAATGTGATTTGTGTGGGTGTCACTACAACCTTCCGAAAAGAGGAATTTGAAGGCCTCAGATTTAAACCACTATAGTTCCTTTAGGATGTTTGTCATTTAAAAGTATTGTATGTAACTAGGTCAGAGGTATTTAAAATCGGTTTAATTCTGCTGTAGCAAATAAGAGGCTTGCGTTTTTCCCTTTAACCAAATTATTTAGTACTGCCAATTAATCAGTAACTATCAATTAATCAGGAAATATTATTTATACATACACATTTAAATGTTAAAATTTTATATTGGTAACATTCTGATTAAAAGCCATGTTAAAACAAGTCTCTTACCCTCCTAGCTGTAAAGGTTCTTCAAACTCAAAGAGGATGTAGTCCCCAGCCACAGGAGAAAAGGACCAGAAGCACTCCTGGCCCAAGTAGGCTTTCTCCAGGGAGTATTGCTGATATACCTTCAGGGTGGTGCTTAGTTTTGCTGGAGGATTAAGATGTGGCTTGTATAACACTTTCTTGTCAAAATCTTTATCCTAAAGGGCCAGACAAATGCATGTTGTAAGGTAATAAGTAGATCAATGTATTGCAAGGAGTATAATGCACAATCACAAACCCACACTCTGCTGAATGTATGTGATGGAATGACCTTCATAATGTATAACATTTAAAAAGGTGAGACAGTACCACATATTGACTTTATGTTCTTATTCAGCATCAAACAAATAGCATTACTTAATGAAACCTATGCCTTGCCTTGTACTCTGTCCACCACTTCCCATAAATCTACAGAGAAGCTAACAATGGTCATGAGAGCTTGCTTCACTGTTAAGCCAGTGGAGTACAGATGCTGATTTCATGTGATTACACCAGCTGAAAAAAGCACTTGAAAAAGCACATGAGTTAAATGAAGGGCATTTTATTTTTTCTTCGAGAGCTATGGGGCTAGGGCTTTTCCCCATAGTTCTCCTTAGGGTAACGAGCTGTAGCTCGCGGTATACTGAGACGCCGCAGCTGAAGCGGATCCCGACAATTATGTCTGGATCTGCCCAGCTGAGTGAGTGACAGCTGGCTCTGCCCATCTAGAGGCAGAGCCAGCTATACCCGCCCCTCCCCCCTCCGTTCTGCCAGTCAGCGCTGGGGGATCGGAGTGGGGAGGGGGGAATCCAGCCACTCCCCTGTCACGGCAGAGAGCTGTGACAGGATTGAGAAGTGAGCGAACACCGGTATGTGTTCGCTCACTTCCCGATCTACAGTCTCATTGTCACAGGTCGGCTAGAACTATGAGGTGAGTGAAAAGCACTCACCTCACAGTTCTCCTTTAATATATTTCCCTGGAGGTAAAAAACCTGCACGGAGAGAATTATGGGAACTCAAAAGAGAGTTCAGGGTTGCCTGGCTGAATCCGGCCTCGACACTCACCGAGAACCAGCCTGCAGCTAGTGATGTCAATGGATAGTCAGCACCTATGATCTGCATTCTCTTTCTCAGTCAGTAACTCAAAGTCATTGGCATGACAGCCAGGTGACTAGCATCTTTACTAGGAAAATTCAGCAATTAAGGTCTTTCTCAATTCAGCTTTTCTTTAAAGGGTATCTAAAGCCAAAAACTAAAAATGTATATGTATTTCTATACTGGCTTTTTATCAATTCTATCCCACTCCTAATAACAATGTGGATCTAAGTTTGTAAACTTACTTATTGAAGATGTCCATAGGATGTACATACTCAATACACTGACACAATTTCTCTCAACCCTATGACTATGTACTTGCTTTTGTCACAACTCTTAGCCTGCATTCGGAACTTCAACTCTACATCTGAACCATGTAACATCAACATTGTTTGAAGGAAGAAATGCATGCTGGGTTTTGTAGTCTTGAGAAAATGAGATTGCATCACATCAAGCATCAGTGAAAGAAGATGCAAAGTACACTGGGAATCCAGGAAGTTGTTAAAAGTGATGGACAGGAGGCCGCACTCACTACATAAAAAGGGATTTTTTAAAGTAAGCTTTGATTATCAAAAACAACTCTAGTATGCATTTGTATTACAATGCTGATGTTATACCAGTATAGTATGTAATGTGACTTAAGTCTTAAAAAGTCTTAAGAAAAATATCTAGGAGTAAGCAAAGCACACCTATAAAGTGACACAAAGAGAGTACTGAAAGTACTGTACATGAGTTGGAACGGAAGAACTCATCTGACCTTTAAATTCTGTATTTTTCCAACCAATGAAGAATGTGTGCCAATATGCTGGAACAGGGAGGGACGGTATCTGATGCGCAAGTTCGACTTCTGTCTGTCACAATGTTTCTGGAGAGAAAAAAACAAAAACAAACATTTGCTGGACCTGATGCGGCAGCAGCAACATTTATTCTATAAAACGATTGTATATTCTGGCATGGCATTCTAATATATAAATCTATTACATGCATAGGTGTGGCCCCATGAACGCTTTTCTCTTTGTGCAAACATGGATATACTGATATTAAGATGTAATGATGTATAGGACAAGACTGCTTTGTGCCAGTATTATATGCTTCTAGTATTGGCATTTATATTCTTGCATACAATGCTCAAGTATAACCAAAAGGATGTTTCCTTAACCAACCACATGTAAGAAAAAGAATCCATACAAAAGGGTATATTACACCTGTCAGATCTGACATGTCATTTATGTTCTGAAATGTACACACAGACTATTTTATGTGAGGCAAAGAAAAAAACGCATTGTCCATCATAAGTACTCTATTTACAGTTAAGACAATTGTACATACAATTCATCATTGTAGAACAAATAAAACCAGTAGACGAGGAGGCAATGGGGAGTTGAAATTACCGATAAAGGCAGAGAGAAACACAAAGGATCAACTATCGAAGCAATCTTCTGCCAAAAGGGACCGAATTCTGACATTTATTTTAGTTTTTTGGTAAATACATTATTCACATTAATTTATATTTTTGTTTAGTTTAAAGATGAAGGCTTTATGTATACGGAACCTCTGGACAAATTGCCCCTATGCCTATAATCCTGGATATTACACTACATCAGAAGGGATTATATATGGTAAAGTTTATACCGGTATGTTAATGAGAGATTGATTTTCTACCAATTAAATATTCTTGTACCAATTGGCTATTTCAGAGTGTGAGATCTGTATAAACTCTGAATATTAGGATGCAATTTTGCTACGCTTAAAGGAAGGACAAACTTTGTAGCATATTTGGATTGTGTGTAATAAAGTTCTCAGTGATGCTGTAACTCTTGGACTTTGTATAGCAAGTGATTTGTGGGAGGCTCCTTCTTGCAGGTGCACACTAAGAAGTGACATATATGGTATATATGATTTTTTTTTGAAGGTCAATACCACATCATATAATACATTGCTAGAAGATCTGATATTTGTCATGATTTTTATTGGTATTTATATTTTAATATTCACTCAAATGATTAAAGAGAATCAAAGGAAATAAAAACTGAAAAACGTCATCAAGTTACACAGATACAGGTACATACGGCACCCCCTTGATGAACTTACTCTAGTTAAAATGCCACTAAACTCAGACGTTAAATCTTAAAAATGCATTTATGTACCTGAACTACTAACAAAAATGTATCTTATTTGTGTATCACTCCGCTGTAGATCCTCAAATCATCTCTGAATTGGTGCTGGCACTGTCCTTCCTTCTGGAGGGTGGCTACCTGTGTGTGTTGTAAAGTAGCCACCACTCAAAGCTCACTCCTGTGATGGACTACAATACAATTTAATAAACTTAACATGAGATTAAAGTCCATCACGGGAAAGAACTGGGAGTGGTGGCTACTTTACAACACACACACAGGGACCATGGGGAACAAAAGTAGCCACCCTCCAGAAGGAACGACAGTGTCAGCACCAATTCAGAGATGATTTGAGGATCTACAGCTGAGTCATACACAAATAAGATACATTTTTTGTTAATAGTTAAGGTACTTTTTAAGATTTAACGCCTGAGTTTAGTGTCACTTTAAGGAGAACTCCAAGCACTGGGAAGTCATAGGTCACCTGAAAAAAAAAACTTGCTGCTCTGAGAACTACCCAACCTTTACTTCAATAGAAAGTGCACCTGCAAGCTGGCACACTGGTAGAAGGGCTTTCCATTGAGCACAATGGCAGCTGCAGCACTCACATGTAGGGGTATAGCTCTAACGCCCCATTCACACTGAGCGACATTAAAATCGCACGATTTTATATTAGCGATATTGAGCAACGTGTTGCGCAACTTTTTCCTATTGGGCTGTATGCAATCAGGAGCAAAATCGCTTGAAATTGCTCGAAAAAAGGGTCATGTAGGAGCTACAAGCGATATTGAGCGACGAGATGTGAACAGCTCCATTGAAATGGATTGGAGAAGCTACATAGAGCGATATCGCGTGGAAATATGAGCGATATCGCTGCAAAAATCGCGGGAGGCCTTAGGCCTCATTCACACTGAGCGACATGAAAATCGCGCGATTTTCATGTCGCTCAGTGTGAATGAGGCCTAAGGCCTCCCGCGATTTTTGCAGCGATATCGCTCATATTGCCACGCGATATCGCTCTATGTAGCTTCTCCAATCCATTTCAATAGAGCTGTTCACATCTCGTCGCTCAATATCGCTCATATAAAATCGCGTGGAAAATCGCGCGATTTTCATGTCGCTCAGTGTGAATGGGGCCTAAAACATTTCAGCCAGTGGTTTTTCTGCACTTTGCAGTCAATGCAAGATCTAATTGTGCTCTATGCAAAAAGTTATGGCTGGGGACAGAAAAGGATAAGTTCACTACTCATGTAAATTACTACACGGCTCTGAGTTGGACAGAAGAGTAGAAACCAAAGGTGGATGTATATGAAACTAGATTAACAAGCAAACTCCGGCAGCAGGTTTTCATGTCTAGTATTATATGTAACCAATATTTCTATATTTAAAGTGCATGTAAAGCCACACAATGAAGTCTCTTATTTACTCCCTTTTGGACTGTTAAAAAAAAACAGGGAAAGTGTTTTTTTAAATATCTGTTTGGTTAGTGCAAACTACCTGTTGATCCTGCCAAAGCATCAATAAGCGAATAACTTCTTGTATACTCTGCCTGTGCTGCACCAATTATGTACCCTGCCAAGTTCCCCTATGTGGACTACAGAAAACCTCCCGCTATGTTATAGAGATGAGGAAAAAAAAGAGAGGGGAAGAGTTCTGTAGGCCAAATCAGGAGCAAACAGACTATGGAAACAATCCTAGGACAGAAAGTGTTTACCGGTGGGATTGCCAGGTAAAAATCAACTTCTGGTAAGCTGCAATATATATATATTCTCGGGTTTAGATACATTGTAACCTCTTCACGACCAATGACAGGATAATTTGAGGGGTTAAAACAGAAAAAGCCGCTGGGACTCTGTTCATATTTGTAGAGCCGGCGGCCGGCTTTACAGAAGCAGCGATTCTGGCGACTCAGCGGTCGCCAGAACGCTTCTACGGACTGGTAAAGTGAACGCCCTCCCCCTCCTGCGGGCCCAGGACCAGCATCTTGGGTGTCGGCAGAAAGCTGAGGAGGAGAGTGGCGAATGTCAGTTTACCGATCTCTTCCCCGTTCTATGGGACAGGGAGCGAAGCGTATTGCATTACTTCCCGTCTCTGAGCTGTCATTGCTGGGCTCTTGAAGCCCAGCAATAAGTGTTTGAAGTGCAATGTGCACTCCAATAGCTTATTTAGAGTGGAAAGGTGATACTAGGGGTCAGTATCACCTAGTATCACTCAAAGAGTACCTGTCACCACCAATATGCTATCACATGGGGAGCTTGCAAGCCCCCCTATGTGAAAGCAATTAAAGTAAAGTTAGAAAAAAAAAAAGTTTTAAAAATATGAAATAAAATAAATGTAAAAATAACTAAAACATTTTTTTAAAGTCCCCCACCCCTGCGTGCACACGCATCTTTATGTAAACATGCCTTGGGAATGCCTGCATACGAAAACGACGATTGCGCTACACATTGGGTATCGCCGCACACGCCAGAGTGAGAGCAATAATTCTAAGGCCAATATTTACAAACATCTCTAAACTGATGGCCTGTAGGGGCTTTTAAAGTGTTTTTGGGGTACCGAGTTTTGTTGCAGTTTCACGGACACACAACATTTTTTACCTGGGCATGTTGGGTATCTATTTACTCGTAACTTCATCTTTTATATAGTGTATTGGGGCACTAAAATTTTGGAATACACCTTCATAACATATCAGCTAGGGAACTACAAGTCACAGCATGCCCTCATTGCCCCTGTATAACAACCAGATATTTCCGTTCCCTGGGTAATATGTGTGTGTGTGTGGGGGGTGTAAAGGGACAATGATGGCATGCTTGGACTTGTAGTTCCTTAGCTGATATATATGTGTGGGGGTGGGGGGTACAGTTCTAGTGGATGTTTATATAATATGGGGGGGGGGGCAAAAAAAATGTTCTGCCCCGGGCGCCCATAACTCTGGTTACGCCACTGCTATGAGGATATGTTAAGAGCACTCACCTCATAGTTCTCCTTTAAGTACATTTTTTCACTACGTTTTTGGTTTGATAATAAGTTGCGCTAATGTCATACAACATAAAAATTTGCAGCTGCCACCATTTTATTCTATAGGATCTTGGCTTTCAGAAAATCTATAATGCTTGGGGGTTTTAGGTGATTTTCAGGCCTAAAATGTGGATTAGAACATGTAAACAAAAACAGGAAAAAAGGCTTTCGCCCTTAAGGGGTTAATGATGTCTACTTATGTTTGTCTTACAGAAATGAAGGTTATACTACTTTTAGCAATGCTGGACATCAAAAGAACTTACTGCATCTTTTTCTGGATTGCATACTTTCACCCACAGATAATGATCAATAAGCCAGTCTATGGGTTTATCTTTGTAGAACATTAGAAAGAATTCAACAACGTAAGGCAGGTCTTTACACTTAAATAACTTTCCTGAAAGGAGAAAGAAAAATACATTTGAGAAATCGAAATGATATAAATTGATAAAATGCAGAATTGCTGCATTTGTACAACAGAAATTAAAAATGTCAACAAGCCCCAATAGGGTGAAACACAACCCAGCTACAGGGTATATAATGTCACATGATACTGTTGTAAGCATTTGTCAAATTGCTTGTCTGATACCACTTGAAGAACCTGCCTGAAGAACAATAAAGCACAATATACTCTGGAAGGAGCAACATTGTACAACATAAACATCAGAGTGTTACTTTACATAGTACAGGGAACCTTTGTACTTTCAACCCTAAATATCGTGCTATTTGTAACTCCTTATCTGAGCAGGTATATACTGTACATAGGTGTGCGTGTTTGCCTAGGTAGCGATTTATAAAAAGTCTTTCACAAAGGTTATCAGCACCTCATGGAAATTATGTAAAGGATCCTTTAGAAGAATATCAAATCTTTACTTTCACTGAAGACTGAAACAAAAGAGGACCAGTATTTGATCCTATACAGATGAACTTCAGTAAGTGACATGGTTATTTCTCAGCCTCTCCATCAACCGTGTGACTCAAATAACAGATAGAAATCAGTTATTTCCATCATAATGAATGGGAAGCTTTGTAATGTTAACCTTTTTATGCAACTTCTAACTGTTGTTCTTTGAGACCCAAAATCTCACTGCCTCCCCTTTGGGTCTGAGTAGTATCAATATCTGCATGTATAAAATGACTTACTTTCTAAATATATATTAGCACCCACCATAAACATTTCTGTCACATGCCTTACATTGTGGTGGTGTCATTATTATTGGCCACAGCTGTAATATGAGTTTCCATAAGGAAGACTACAGAGGCACATGTATCAATGAATAACGTTAGTAACCGAAAGTGCATATATTAGATATACCAGCAGCTTAGCCATACAGATTGCAAGGATTTCATTAAAACTTATTGCACATACTGGTGCCTTTACCATATTCTGTTCTGTAGAAAAAAGAGAAATTCATCACAACAAGTGCTAATTCTGAGCATCTATTAAAGTCACATGATCACTCTCAGATCTGTTTGCAAAATACTGCACCTTGCACATAATTGTAGTACTCTTTTCAAGAATGTCAACAAAGATAACACTGCCAGTGCAGTAAACCTAGACCCATCTTATAATAGGGGTGTAATCAGGGTAATGTCTACATTGTGGTATTAGGAGACAATATCTTATAGGGGTTACCTCAGCTTGGTCCCACCCCCGCATCCATCTAGCCAATGTTTCCAAACATACCAAATTTTTTAAAAAATCGGGGTATTTAACCCCATCATGACTGAGCTTGTTTTTTTTGCTTCTGTACGTAAATGACTGACACACTTGATATTTTTGCTATGTGATTCTTCCTCGTCAGTAATATAATTTCTTACAAAGTGCACTCACACATACACTATGTGGCCAGATTATTATGACCACCTGACGTTTGTAGGCAAATTAGCTATAATTTGGCGCTGAAGTTGCTAGAGGGCCAGACCATTATAAATAGGGAAGCAGGTTGTTTACCACAACAGTAGAAGTGATTTGTTTCTGAAGATACGGGTAAACAACGCGATTTAACAGCCTTTGAATGTGGGATGATTGTTGGTGCGAGCCACGGAGCGAGTATCAGCAAAACAGCAGAATTCGTTAAATGTTCAAGAGCAGCTGTTGTTAAAGTGTTTAAAGACTGGACTGTGAGCCGAAAATCTGGGTCTGAACGTGCGAATTGTGGGCGTCAGCGACTAGTCAATGTTAGGGCAGAACGGAGTAGGGCAGTGGCAAGACTGGTACAAGACAACAGAAGGGCAACAGTGCAGTGTCAGATTCCTCGTATCACCTTTCAACAACTCGTGGAGTCACAAGGCGGCCCAACGAAGTCATCTCGTGGCCTAACGAAGTACTGATGGGGTGGTCATAATAATCTGGCCACTCAGCATATTATATATTGTTTTTTAGGAGGACAGAGAGGTACCCTAACGCCTCACCTAAAAACTGAATTGGGATGGAAGGAGGGGTCTATTTATTTAAATGTGGTTGATGTGTTTCCTGTTGCAGGCAGGTGGAGCCTTATCTCATTGGCTGTCCTGGAAGATGACAGGGGATAATTAATCCCTTAGGGTAAAAACAAATCTGTAGCTCAGCTGCAGATTTTCATTGTAGTGGGTTCATTTTTATGTTAATGATAGTATAAAATATATTTAAATATATCATTTTTATTTGTTACATTTATTATTTTTGTTACACTGGTCACTATTTAAAAAAAATGGTTTTTAAATTTTTATTTAATTGAATCAATACTGAGGTATCCATTAATGAACGGTAATGGTACAGTGTACGTGAGCAGTCATTTGGGCACTTCATGTCGGGACGTACAGTGTACGTCTCCCGTAACAAAGGGGAAAAAAAATAATACTGTGCACTATGTAAATTATCATTTAAGTATCATTACCTTGCTGCACGCCATCCACTATGCACAATGGCACTGAGGAGAGTGATGGATGAGACTCAAGCAGTGAAATGCTCCAGTTGCATGACCTTCCCCTCGTCACTTTTGCCCATTCACAAAATGGCTTGTATTTTTTTCAACAATACAAGGCATTACATCATTTTTATAAAATTGGTTTATTATTACTATTTTTTGCTTACATTACCATCAGAGGACTTTAGGGAAATAATATATGAATTAACAGGAAGTGATGTATGCAAAGCTCCTCCTGACCATTCATAAACTGAGACAGTAAATGTTTACGATGTCCCCAGTCATGAATGAACAGGAAGTGATGTGTAGTGCTTCCTGTTTATTCATTACTGAGGAAATAGTAAAAATATTCTCTCCTCATTTATGAATAAAAACTGGAGTAATCAGTATGGGTGATCATTAATTTAGAATGCATGGCTTGTCAGCTGCTGATAACAGCTTTTCATTTACACAGAAGAGTCAGGGGGAACCTTCTATGAGAAGCTCATGGTCACTGAAGTGATCATGAGCTCATAGCAGAAGGCTGAATGCAGCTGATGTAAGACATACTGAGTTGGCCAGCTGGAAACATTTTTATTCCGCCGTATGCCTTAAGGTGGCCATACACCATTGTACAACTTTTTTTGTCCAGACATCTCACCCTCGTTCAATTTTCTTACAACTAGGTAGTCATGCACAGACCATTGTAGTTCACAATTAACGCTCGTCAGCACCACCACCACCTGGCTGATTTTCATCGATCAAAAGGACAGATTTTCGTTTGAGCATGGGCAGTTTTCATCTTGAGATTTTTAGTTGTACAACAACGCCACTAACCTGTCAATTTTTCATCCAATTAGACAAAAGTTTTTTAGCCTGCTTGAAAGACAAAAATCTGCCAGTTGTACAGTAAGTGAGGTTGTACACTCCCCATCAACTGGCAGATTTTCCGATGAAAACGCAATCGCAGATGAAAATATCCAGATAATTGTATGGTGTATGGGCACCTTTACGATGGTGACAGTAAAAGAGTATTACACTGATGTTGTATGTCCCATGATAGCAACGCAATTGATTATCAAAACTATATATTTGTTTTATAAAGATACACTATATAAAAAAAATCATTATTTATAGCACAAAGAAACCGCACAAACTTCAAAAAACTTTGACTAAATGTACAAAATAAAACTGTATTGAGCTGATATATATACAATTATAAATCATGTCTTTTTGCAAAATGGTGAAAAATCAAAGAAATGAGAGACTGTAAATAAGTGACTTGAGCTAGAAATCTTGAAGCGGTTTTCACACCTATATGTTAATGTACGATTTGCAGTGCATTAAGTTGCAGTGCCAATACTTTTGAATAGCACCCGAATGCACCGTGCCAAAGCACCTCAGCGTGTTTGCATTTCAGCACATAAAGCACAGATGAAAATCATCAGTGTTTTGTGGTGCGTGTGTTATGGCGTGCATGCACCCAGTTCAAAATGAATGAGCTACCTTAACGCAATGCACATTAGCGCACAATTTAATGCTCATTAAAAGACACAGTTAATGCATCTGTCAAAAGGCCCCATACCGACCCACTAATACCTTTCCTGCAATCCCCCATTGATTCTCTGTGGCAGCTCCCACCAAAATACGTGATTATGTTTAGGGGTATGATCAAGTCAAGGGCTAATTTTTTGTGGTTATATTCATTTGGCATGGCACTTTCATTATCAGGGTCCGTTACTCTGCACATTTGTGATGTTACCAAAAACTCCCGCGTAAAATCACTGCAGCAAAATTGCTTGTGATGTTACCTTTGTGCAGACATGTGCTTCTGGAAGAGGAAGTGAATAACAGGAAAGGCCAGATGAATATGCAAAATCCTGAATTCAAGCTGATTATTGTTGCCGTGAGTGGAAGAAATCAAAATTTGAACTTTGTTTCGAAGTCTACAGATAACGACCGGCTGCAGATTAAAGCTGGCCATAAACAGCTTGAATTTGAGCCATGGGTGGCCCTGTAAGCACTACCTGGATCAAAAGAATTCAGACCGAGAATTATTAGACAAACAGTGACAGCAACTGTTTGGGTGCTATGGCTGCCTGAATACAACCACCAGCAGGGGAGAAACGGGCTTAATGAGAGAAACTGAGCGAAGTATGGCCAGATTGACAGTAAAATCTAAATTTAACATTGCAAAATGGCCAGCATAGCAACTATATCTGTTTAAGCGATAGTTAAAGTGTATGCAAGGGCAAAAAAAAATATGTAGTGCATCTCTGTAATAAATGTACATCCTCCATGTTTTATCACTTTTATAACCCTGCAAGTATAGAAAAGTACCTGTTGATGTGCCAGAAAATGCACTCCGCTCATAATTCCTGGAGTGGGTTGACAACAGACAGCATTTCTGAGGACTGAATAGTGGCAGCCCAGCACTGTGTTTTGTGCTAAACTACTGAATCGTATCTCTTTCTATCTTCTCCACAACATAAGCACTAATTGAGCTGTAGTGCTGTAGTTGATCGTGGAGGGTTTATCTGGCATTTTAAAATACAACAGGAAGTGTGCACAGCACACAGGACAATCTAGATTTCTGACATGATCCAGATATTATTCTGCACATTCTGCACAAAAATCCTTCAATGGTAAATTGAATGGACTAAAAAAAGGGCAAATTAAAAAAAAAAAAAGGAGGGAGACGACTGAAGAGAAAATATTTTCAGCGTCCTTGGTAAAAATCAGGGGAGCACTGGGAACTTCTGGCCTGGGGTGCAAAAATTACAGACTAGACTTTTCATGATCAAAAGCTATTTCTTTGGGCCATGGTGCTTTATTGATTTGTGGGCATGAGGGTTCCTAAATGACATGGATTATAGTGGCATTTTTTCACATCTTCTAGCATCAACTTCTTTTATGGCTCTTGGTATTCGGTCCCATGGCATCTTAAAGCAGAACTCCAGACAAAATGGTTGTTAACCCTTTAAGTAGGGCTACCCCCACACTGCAACGATTAAGTATTCATTTTGTCTAGGTGCTAAAAAAAAAAAGTTACACTCACCTGAGCCGGCTTGCTCTTAGACCGTTCCCTGGAGCCTCTCTCCCCTTCCACTGCAGCGGTGTAAGATCCACAAGTCATCACGTTCTATACACAGTGTATAGAATGTGAGGACACAAAGTGACATACCATCACTGCAGTGGAGGAGGAGACAGGCTTCAGGGGCCAGAGTAGCAGCCAGCAGGTTCCGCGGTTTGGTACTTTTTTAGAACCTAGACAAAAAACGAGCACTTAACCCTTGCAGTGCAGGGTAGCTCAACTTCAAGGGTTAAAAACACTTGCCTAAAATTCTGCTTTAAATCTTCAAAATTTGGTTCTGGAAGACTTCCCTCTGCCAGATGCTGTGTCCTCAAGTCTGAACAGGGAGCAGGTAGCTACTTAACGCCCATCATGTGTCAATGACTGTGGTGCTCTTTATGCTGCATCAAATTATCATTAAAGGAGAACTATGAGATGAGTGATTTCCATTCACCTCATAGTTCTAGCCGACCTGTGACAATGAGACTGTCACAGGTCGGCTCAGTAGATCGGGAGGTGAGCGAACACATACCAGGTTCGCTCACCTCTCGATCCTGTCACGGCTCTCTGTCGTGACAGGGGGAGGGGCTGGATTCCCCTCTCCCCGCTCCGATCTGCCAGCGCTGACTGGCGGAACGGACGGGGGAGGGGGCGGGTACAGCTGGCTCTGCCTCTAGATAGGCAGAGCCAGCTGTCACTTACGCAGCTGGGCGGATCCCACCGTCTAAGTCGGGATCCGCTCCGGCGTCTCAGTATACCGCGAGCTGTAATCTATGAGAGCCTCTATCTTGGAGCATATATAGCAAATGATGCATTGGGTGCAGGTTTGCGCTATATGATCTAATAGATGGAGGCTCTCATAGATTAGAGTTAGGACCACACTGCATTATACAGAGGGGCCTTGGACGAGGCAGTGTGGCTTCCACATATTTTGCAAAAGTTGTGCAACTAAAACCTCTGTTTTTAACCCTAAAAGTTAGACAGCGTAATTTGTTTTTGGCAGACTCGCTGGTAAGTGTACTGGGAAATGTTTGCTTTTGTATTGTCAACAATGAAGGCACCACAAGAAAAAGTATATCTTGAGATGAGTATTTAACAGTAGAACTATTAAACTACACAATATTTGCCAGCAAAAAAATTACTGAAATCAAATATTCCATTGTTCAACCTATGCAGAAAAACAACTAGCCAAAATGCAGCATCAGTATTAGGTATCTAATGAGATCAAACCAACCTCATACAACAAAGAACCTCTTTGTTTTACAATGTAACCAGGATTGTTAACAAAGACAAGATGACCCAAGTTTTTTGGGACTACTATTGAACATATCTGATTGTACTTTATACAAAGACAGGCTTTAAATGTGCTTATCTGGATCTAAATGAACTAAAGCAGCTTGTAGACATAGCATGACAGTTGTTCAGTCCGGCCACTGCAGTAGACAATCTAAATGTAAAATTGAGGGCTGGCAAGGCAGGTTAGGACTCCTGCCCTTCCAAATTTTACTTACTGCTCTGTAAATGTGGTTATTAAATAACACCAAAAGATAGAATATTGATTTGGGTACAGTGGAGTAATTTCCAGTCAAACAATACCAATGCCAAAAACTGAAAAATAGTCTAGACAGGAAGAGGGTGTAATGTGTGGGTCCCAAAGTGGTTAGTCAAATTGTATAAATCTAGTACAGGCAGCCTGTGTGACCCTTTGTAAATCTCCCGCACATTCTTTGCCATTGTTTTATCAAGCCAGTTCATTCACTGAAAACTAGGACACAAAGTCTTGTGCCATTGAGAAATTACAGTCAAGCCATACACTGTATAAATAACACCTTCGTGTCTATACTGGGCAGCATAAATATTTGAATTGCAGCACACCACAAGCAGTCCATTTAGTAAATGGGTTTTAAACCTTTAGTATGATGCTCTTCCTTGATCAATAACTAAAATTGTTATTCGGATGGCATCGAATGCCATTTGGCACATTCACTGAAAGTGATTCTCAGAAGCACTTACTCAAAATGCAAGGTCAAGAAGTATTAGAAAAGGAAAATGTCAGCAATGACTGCTGCCAACTGATGCAAGGGGATAGTGTTTGCAGCAAAATCCCACCTGATATTCTATATTATACAAGACACTGAAAACAAGGTAGATGCTATAAGCTAGGGATGCACTGATACTGTTTTTTCGGTATCAAGTACCTATTTTGTTTTTTCCACGGTACTCGCCGATATTGAATACCGATACCGGAAGTCCCATTAAGGAAGCCAGGCGGCGTGTAATGACTCGCCATCTGGCTTTCCGATTAGCCGGGAGGCATGTAAAAACTCGCCACCCGGCTTCCCGATTAGCAGAGAAAGCATCCCCATGCTTCTCGTCACTAGGTGACGAGAAAGCATGGAGCCGGCTTTCTGGCCAATCAGGAAGCTGGGCGTCGTGTAATGATGTGCCGCCCAACTTCCTGATTGGCCGGGAAGCCAGCTCCATGCTCCCACGTCATGAGGTGACAAGGGAGCATTAACCTGCCTTCCCAGCCAATCAGAAAGCCGGGCACTGCATAATTACACGGTGCCCGGCTTCCCGATTGGCCGGGAAGCCGGCTCCATGCTCACTTGTGACGGGGGACCATGGAGCCGTCTTCCCGGTCAATCAGGAAGCCGGGCAGTGTGTAATGACTCACTGCCTGGCTTCCTGATACCAGAAGTATCGGGCTGGGCATCGGAGCATTTGGGCGAGTATGAGTACTCGCCCAAATACTCGACATCAGCACCGTATCGTACTAGTATCGGTGCATCCCTAATAAGCAGAACTGCCGAGCTAATAGCAGACTATGTAAAGAATACACAAATAATGCAGAAATGTTGGAGTATAGTGGAAGTATGAAAAAGGAAATCCCAAAGCATCACTATATATGAAACCTGTCTTTTTGTATGGCAATTTCATTTCAATGTGCTCTCAATCTTTTTAAAAGTCAGAGCAACACTTCTGGTCTCCATTGGCAACAATTTATTTTTTGTTCCATTTTCTTTCCCTAATTGTTGCCCAAGTTGTATTTTGTTTCCACCATAGTCAATGACTTAAGATTGTCTTTTTTCACCTCTCCTTAGCTGTACAATGAACAATTTTGCCTATATTTGATTAGCCTGAATGCATTTCTATAAACTGCATCAAATATAAAATATGCACATTTCAAAATCCCCCTCAAATTTTAAAAACAATCTACTAATATATGTGGGATCCAAATATAATCCTCTATACTCACCAATGAATCCTAGTTGTGAAAATTCAAGTATTAGCCATTCATCAGAGGTCTGCTGGGTGGCAAAGTCTATCAAAGACTGGAAAAATTGTGGCTTGGCCACAACATCATCCTCTAGCTTCATGCATGCAAAATAAGACAATAGAAACACATTAGGAAACAGTAAACATTAGGTTCAAAGTAACCGAAGACATTAATTCCCTTAAAACAGCAGTCTAAATATGAAGAAGTTATTCAAAGAGGTTCATGCAGGATATGGATTATATAACCAAAGCTACGCGCCTGCAAGAAAAATAGACATAGGGTGCAAAGTGCAGTAACACACAGAAATCATATACCCAAACCAATTTTTTACCCTGGCTATAGAATTAATTACTGATATGTATGGCATTTGCTTTTTGCCCTCTTCCTACATGAAATGAGACATACATGTCCAGTCTAACTGCACTAACCTTCCTACCCCAGCTGCTTGCTTCACTCTTTAGCTCCGCCTTAGCTTCCGTTGTTTACAGCTGTGTCATCACATTCTCTTTAGCACTGGCATTGAATAGGGCTGTATATCAAGATTGGAGATTTGCAGTATATGGCTTCATTCAAGTAAATGGGGGTACAGTGTGCAAGCAGGGCCAGTGCTGCAGAACATTTCACAGAAAACAAAACACAGGAGAGAGGGCCACGGCTCTGGAGCAGCTGGGGTGGTAAGGCCTCGCAGTTAGTGCAGTTTAGCTCGGGTGGGTAAGGGATAGTTCAGTAAAAAGGTAGACCCATATTTTAAGTACCTTGTATAAAAACATCCTGGGTTGTTTTACTACATACAGAGCAGACCTACTCAAACTCCTTATGTGGATTCCTTTTGGAGCCTGGAATAAATAAAGATGGCCATGCATAGCTTGAATTTTGGTGGAGTACTGCTAACTCGGCCAAAATGTGACCAGTGTGCGACCCTGCTGGCACTCCCCCGTTCACAAAAATTTAAATTTTTCAATTTGTTTTTGCCAAAGGAGCCAGTCTGAAAATTCCTGGCTAAAAGGGGACCAGCTGTCAGAATACAATAACTACAGCGGGAGATTTGTCCATCCACACTCTTGGATGGAGGAACTGTTAGTTTATTTTTTTTTCATTCAGCCTGAAAAAAATGTAAAGTGCATGGCAAGCATAAACCTTGAAAAGACTGATGAAGTAGAACACTACTTATTAAAGCCTAGACATGTTCCCCACTTCTGAAGTGTATGGGAGTATTAACACTCTAGTCAGTTTTTATTGCTATCTTGCTGTCTGCAATCACACTAGAGAGCTTTCCCCTTGCTTTTGTATTCATGTACACCAGTACAAAAAAATAAGGGTAACAGAAATCACAAGGATAGGCAAAGGCTACAGCAATAAAGTCCTCACAAAAATTCTAACATTAAATAGACCCTGTCACCAACTTAAAAAAATTCAGGTAAAAAGCATAGGAAAAGATTTAAAATGCGTACCACTAGGCTTGCACCAATACCAGTATCGGTGCAAATACTGGGCATTTTCACGAGTCCATACAGCCCACCATAGACCCCACCTGAGCATTCGCACAGCCCACCATAGAACCTGCACAGTCCACCTGAGAATCTGCAAAGCCCACCATAAACATCCCACCTGAGAGTCCGCACAACCCACCACAGAACCTGCACTGCCACCTGAGACACCGCACAGCCCACCATAGACCCCGCATAGGCTATTATTGACCACGCACAGCCCACCTGAGAGTCCGCACAGCCCACCACAGAACCTGCACTGCCACCCGAGACACCGCACAGCCCACCATAGACCCCGCATAGGCTATTATTGACCACGCACAGCCCACCTGAGAGTCCGCACAGCCCACCACAGAACCTGCACAGCCCACCTGAGAGTCCACTCAGCCCACCAGAGACAGTGCACAGCCCAGCCCACCAGAGACCTCGCACAGCCCTCCTGAGATCCTCCGCTGGAGACATCAGGCCGGCACCACGGAGCAACATAGTATGTAGCTTCTATTATTCTGCATTGATGTATAATGCATTGCTGGGATTTGTAGTTCTCTATAGCTGGTGGTATTGTGCATTGTTGTATAATGTATCACTGGGATTTGTAGCCCTCTATAGCTGGTGGTATTCTGCATTGTTGTATAATGTATTGCTGACATTTATAGTCCCTGTACAGCTTGGCGTCAGTGGCAGAACTACCTGGGGTACAGCATTTGCAGCTGGGACTGGGCCCTGGCACTTTACCACTGTCCTAAAATCATTAGTCTGTATTGTTTTAGAAAAACTGTCACATGACGCTGGAAAAAAAAGTATCAGTAATTGGCATTGGAGAGTACTTAAGGAAAAGTATTGGTACTTGTAGTCGGTCTAAAAAAAAATGGTATGGTGCATCCCAGAACAGCTCCTCCCTTAATAAACTTTTTTAATGTAGATGCTGGAGGAGGAGTGAGTGCATACTTAATAGCAGTATCATTAATTTATCGACATACTATATTTTGGGGATGCAAAATGATATCTGCTACATATAACATTTCCATATATAGCGCAATAAATAAGGGTAAAAGCTGGCAGTGACATTTGCACATTCCTTATTTAATTTAGCTTATTTTTCACTAACCATGCCAATATGAAAGTATACTGTAGATATTTATAGATATTAGAAATAGTTGTCTCAGAAAACAGATGGAAATCATACAAAAGGAACAAGTTAGATAGTTAAACTGAAATAGCCCTAAAAGTAAAAAGTACTGTGGTCCTAAAGCACATACACTGGGTCTGAGTGAATGAAGACAATTTTAAACAGCAGCCCTGCAAATCTGACATAAGTTGTCTGCTTGCACCTTCAAAATTCAGCATTATTCGTGCATGCTTGCTGAAACCCTGGAATACACTTCAACCTGGAAAGTTTTGGCATGCTATCTGTCCCATTATCCAATGGATGCCTCTCTGTAGTCTGCTGGGGCTTTTCACTGACCATGGGGATTGTGTCATGAGTATTTAGAAGCTCTGAATTGAAGATGAGGATTTTAGGAGTGTTGGCCCAGAAATGGACGGTTCTTTGGACACACACCAGACATATTGACCTGCACTAAACATACTGAAATACCAGACTGTTGTGGAGAAAACAAACTTTGTATTTTCTCAGAATCATAAGTTCTGCTCTAGGCCCGGGAGCTTTGAATGGGATAGAGCCTCCATTCCTATGTCCACATTCCACTTGGTAGCCACACCTCTCAGCTGTCCACTAGACATTAAATATGCAAGCTGACTCATGCTCAGGGCTCTCTCTTTTGCTGTATCTACTGTGGGACCTGCTGCTGGGTGAAAAGGCTGACTGCTGACAGAACACTAAAAAAGGTACAAGGGCTGCCTGTTTTTAATCGGGAACCCATTAGGAGGAATCCTGTTGATCAGGAGCTGACCTGAATTTAGTTAGTGCTCAGATGAGCAGATTTTTTTTTTTGTAAGGCCTACCTGCATTGAAAACTTGTTTGTTACCTTTCTCAAAAAAAGTGTAGAATAAAAACACTGCTCTCGTATGTTGCTGGGTATCCCCGTCACATGCAAGGTTTGCTGCTGCCACTACCATTTCAGCCTGCCCCCCTTAAAATATATATACTGCATATATTCTCTATTTTGTAACAGACATCCTGGGTACTCGACCCACCTCCCTCATTAGTCTCTTGGATCTTTAACTTGGATTTCGCAACTTTTAAAAATTAAATTAAATTGTTGTAGGACTAAAGTGTTTTAATACACTCCCTGCAGTAAATTTACAAAAGTACAGAAGTTTGGCTGATCATTTCTGCTTCCCACACAACTCTCAAAAAAATAAAAATAAAATGCAGTAGGTAAACAGGAGTTATCGGTCAAGTAATCATGGCTCTGATAAGGCGGCAACCAAAAGAATATCCACTTATCTTGAAAAAAGCACAGTGAAACAGCTGGTTCAGGGTTTTCATTTTTACTTTTAGTAAGATGAAGTCTTGAATGTAACTTAGTGCTCAGATCCATTTCCTCTACTCTATGTGGGCTACTAACAGCTGTATGTTGTTTGCACCTGGGTGGTAAGCGCTGGAGCTTTCTGTTACCACACAGTGAAGTTGCATTGGTTAAACCTCACCAGGTACCTGAAGTTACCCAGAATTTGGAACTTTGTAACAGACCTGCCTGTATAAATTTTTGTGATTTATAGAGTGCTGGTAATCTTTTCGTTATCATTCATCGAAATAAAGCCTTCTCTCCCATGTCACAGTATCATCATCACACAGCCTTCAGTTATTGCCAAGGAAGATTAAGCCTAAATGCACATCTTGCTCCTCTCCACGGCAGATTAGGTTGCATGCTATTGTGCTTATCTTTCAGCTATGGCATTATTTAACAGCTTGGCTCAGGTCCTGAGAGACTAAGTCTCTTGGGGACTTGGTGGACTATATGAGCCAAAAGCAGCAAAACTAACACAGCAAGCTCTGATAACTTTAAAACACTATATTGATTAGCACGACCAAAGGAAGGAAAGAGGAAGTAATGCAGCTCTGAAATCAACATCAAGATAGCATTTTAAATGTAATGATAGTGGTCGTTTCCAATGCATCTAAGTACTAAGATGATGTCTGACAAATAAGTAGATAAATACTGCCAATCTTACTTGGAGAGAGAATGTCTAGCATTCCTACAATCTAAAACCAAGCATTTATTTCAGAAAAATCTGGAAGAGATCCACTATAACAATGCTAACAGCATATACGTTAAAATGTGAAAATATGGCTGAATTAATATAATTGCTGGATATTAGTTACACAGTCTATCTTATATAAGCAAACTTTTGTTGAGGAAAAAATCATTCCCTCTGGGTGATCTATGTACACTGCAGGAATTTGAACATACTTTGTTGCAGATTCTGACCCGTTTCTGTTCTGACAAAATAGCAGTTTGTTTCAGCCTGTCCTTTCCAGACCGATTTCTGACTAGGAGGGTCTGGGTTCATTATACATACCTTGTGAACTTTCTGTGTCGCAATGAGGAAGTTGCAGGGTCCGCATCCCTTTTTAGAAGTAGATTACCCTCAGGAGTATCTCACCAAAAATAAAATTCCTATTGCAGGGGGATGCCTAAT